GTTAATGTTGCTTTTCCTCCCCCTGTGACAGGACCAGGGTGAGTTGGCTCTTCACCTGGCTGTGCGTTATGCAGACAAGTCCTCCCTCCCGCTGGTGGACTTCATCATTCAGAATGGGTAAGCCTCACCCAGGGAGGAGGGCAGGTGACAGGCGGCAGGCTGACATCCATAGCATCTTGGGCTGGGAACATGTCAGGTCTCATAAGCTAAGCAGGTGCCGGCCTGGTCAACACTGGGAGGGGAGGCTCCATGCAAAAAATCCATGTGACTTAGAGCTCTCCTGCCTGGGAGACCCACTGTGCTGCTGGAGGTCTATTCTCCACTGGGTTCAGGCCTTCATCACCTGCATTTGAAGGCGGTTAATCAGAAAGCTGGTGGGATTTGCAGCTGACCCTAACATGGGAGGAATTGCAAGGACAGAGGATTAATGCAAAGGTACCAAGGGAGGTTAGAAATTGGGGCAGAAAATAACAGAGATTTGATTTAGAACAAATCACGGGGGGGGAGGGACTAATCCAAAAGGCAGATGATAATGCAGGGAATGGGGAGATGTCTGGAAACTGGGGGTGGTGGAAGAGAGACCTGTCATAAGGTCTATCCAGTAAGCTGTCCACTGGCCCATGTAATTATGGGCTGGCTCCATGGCCATATTGTACAATGGAGCACAGAGGTAATTGCTCTTCATGTGACCCCAGCTGGAATTCCGTGCTCCTCGTTCTCAGCATGAGAAGGCTGAAGCCGGACTAGAAGGAATTTGGAGAACGATGTTGTCAGGAACTGGGGAGGGAGAAGGACTCTCTTGACATAGTTCCCCTATGTGGGAACAAAAATCTCTCTGCTGTTGACTGGCAGCGCACCTTTCATATACGGATCTCAGTGTCACTGATTCTCCCATCCCCCACAAGAGGCAGGTCAGGAGCCTTCTCCCCATTTTAGAGATGGGGGAAACTGAGGCACAGAGTGGGGCAGTGATGTACTCAAGTTCAAGCGGGTCAGTGGCAGGGCTGGGAATAGAACCCACATCTCCTGACTCCCAGACCCCCAACTAGGCAGCGCTGTCTCTCTGGTGGGAGATGTTCTTTGCTGCTGCCTGCGTCTTCAACTGCCTTTGCCTGACTGTGCAGGGGGAACGTGGACAAGGCAACTCCGGACGGGAACACGGCTCTGCACTACAGTGCTCAGTACAACCAGCCCAACTGTCTCAAGCTGCTGCTGAAAGGGAAAGCCGCCATAAACACAGGTAGGGAACGTGGGGTAGACGGGGCAAGGAGCGCAGCCAGAGGGAGGTTGGAGGGGAAGCCATGCGATGCTCCAGCCCTATGGAATTGTGGTGGGAGGAGGGAAATCGGAACAGATTTTAAAATCTGTTCCATCTGGATTGCTCCCAAAAATTTTATGGAAGAACAAAGGGGCCGGGGCCAGCCGGTGTCTAGCTCTCTGTCCTAGGTCCTTATCTGACTCCCCTTACTGTTGTATCTGAGCGTGTCAAAATCTGTAATGTATTTGTCCTCATAACAGCTCTGTGAGGTAGGGGAAGTCCTGGTATTCTAATTTACAGGTGGGGAAACTGAGGCACAGAGCAGGGAAATGACTTGCCCAAGGTCTGTAGCAGAGCCGGGAATAGAACCCAGGTCTCCCAAGTCCCAGGCTAATGCCTGAACCACTAGATCATCCTTCCTCTGTCTCTTGTCTTAATACACATTCCACCCTGCAGGGAGACTGGAAAAACTACAAAGATTATCTTGTGCCTAACACAGCACCTTCCATCGGAGGGTCTTCATGCACCTTATTAACTAAGGAATACAGTGCACAGGGAGGAGATAAGTAGCATTATCTCTGTGATACAAATGGGGAAACTGAGGCACAGAGCAGGTCCGTGGCAGAATAGAACTTGGGTCTCTTGACTCCATGTCCATAGCCCTATCCACTACAATGATTCCTCGTTTTTATTCTAACAGGTTACGCATAATCCTTGTCTACACATTAGAACCAGGTCAAACTGGTTTTGTGTGTGTGTAATAGAGACGCTAACCCATATTTACCACCTAGTCACAACCAGTTTTGGAACATTTCTTAGTTTTTAAACTTTTAATTGACTTAAATCACTGTAAAACCTTTAAAGGCTATTATGCAGTGATCGGTCTTGTATTGTGGTGTTCTGAATGTAATAGGACTCTTTTCAATCAATTCCTCATTTAATTTCAGCACTGGTCTAATGTCATTATTCCCAATTCAGTCACTTAGCATTTAGTTAATGCCACTTTTACAATACCTTGCACTTCATTCAATATTGTCGACTTAGAAACATTTACGGAGTTTGGCTGTTCCCCTTCAGCGTCAATTTTTTATTTTGGTTTCTTTTTTAATCATTGAGTAGACTAGAGGTTAATGACCGAGCGGCTTGCTTTGTGGAGTGTGTGTGTTTGGTGAGCTGTAATATATGGCTGTGTCTTCACTTCACAGTTAGCTGTGGCTTTTTCCTTGGGTGTTATTCTACACACACACACACACACACACACACACACACACACACACACACACACACACACACACACACACACACACACACACACACACACACACACACACACACACACACACACACACACACACACACACACACACACACACACCCTCTGACCTCAATATGCTTTAAACCCAGGCTCTCTAGCCCACCTGGGGGTGGGTTAGCCCAGGCACTCCTTTCCCTCAGGCTGGAAGGGTAACCTTCCCACTTTGCAGTATGGATGCAGGCTAACCCCCTGGAGTGCTAAGAGTCCTCCAATGCCTTCCCACAATTGCCCCCATGTGCCTAGAAGGGCAGACAAGTTGAAACATCGCCTTTTATCATCTAAAACCAAATTCCGTTTTTCGGGCCCTGATGCCTATTTTGTTCAGAAATTTAAGTTAATTTATTGCATTTAAAAAAAAAAAGGAAACACTTTTTATAAAAAGCTCGAAAGAGAATCGAAACATTTCTCTTGATCCAATCTGAAGTATTTTTTTGGATTTTCAGTCTGTGGAAATTTGAGATTTCAACTTTCCCTCCCCCCCCCCCTTGATTCGGGATGGGGAATTCTTTTTAACAAAATCTCAAATTCTCCTGGGACGTGAAACTCGTTTCCTGCCTGGTTTTAGTTATTGACCCCAAGGCTGCGTGGAACGGAGCAGGAGCAAACTCATGCAGTTACCCACTCACTGGAGCGTGTTATGGGGGTGCAGAAGAGCTGGGCTCGGTGCAGGCTGGTTTAATCCTGCCCGCCGTCTCCGGACGACAGTCCAAGCACAGAAACGGCCCTGAGCCTGGTGGTCAGATCTGGGGCCCTCTCTGATTCAGGGAGCGGTGGCTCAATGGGGCTTTGGTGCTCACTGATCTGCGTTGGGCATCCCTTTGCGCTGGGGGGGCGAGAGCGAGGGGTGCTCTTGCGGGGGGGGCCCTGGTGACTCATCCCTGGCCTCCTCTGCAGTGAATGCAGCAAGCGAGACGGCCCTGGACGTAGCAAGGAGGCACAAACACCTCGAGTGCGAAGAGCTGGTAGGTCGAGCGCTTTGTGTTCACGGTAACGTAGGCCGGTTGCTGCGGGGGGAGGGGGAAGGGGATCTGCTGTCGGGGTGGGGAACAGGCACCTGGGATGGGGCAAGGATGGAGGTGGGCAGAATGTGGGGTAAGGTCCTTTCCCGGGCTGGAGATGGGAAGAAGCAGGGTCCCTGCTGTCGAGCCTGGATGACTCCTGCCACGGGGCAGAGAAGGGAGGCAAGTTTGGGGGTACTGTGCCGTGGGGGAGGGGTGGGTCGAGGGCATGCAGGATGGGAGAGGATCAGGGCTCTGCCGAGGAGCTGAATCTTCCCCTCGCACCCCAAATTTCTGGCAGCTTGAGCAGGCACAGGCCGGGAAGCTAAACCTGCAGGTGCACTTGGAGTACAACTGGGAGGCCTCTCAGGAATACGCCTACGACAGCGAGGACGAGCTGGAGGAGAAGGTACTGCTCTCCCGAGCAGCGTGTGCGTGCGTCCCTGGCCTCCGCCAGGCTGGGGTTCTGGGATGGGCAGAGCCCTTCTTGCCAGGCCCAGGGCCACCTCCCTACAGGGGCAAGCGGGACTCCTACCCTCGTGGCGGTTCTTGGGGTCCCCAGCAGTGAGAGTCCCTTCGTTACTCCTCTGCCTCTAGCGTGAGGGAATCTTGCTGGTGGTAACTGCCACCAGCCTCTCGAGCATTCCTCGCCGGGCACCCGAGTCCCCTTAGAAGCATTTGACTGTGACACTCAGCCCCTGACGCTGGCTACTCGCAGGAATCCCAGACGCTCTGCCCCCAGAGAGCAGGGGGCCTTAGTTTTTACCTTAAACCACTGCCCCTGTGTCACACATGCAACGTGTAATGGAACCAAAGCAGGTTTATTTGAGAGAGAGAACGGAGATTTCCCCCCTGGAAACAAGAGCGAGTGATCGAAACAAATGGTTACCTTGCAAAACAAAATCAGCAAATGCAAACCAGGGCCTCCACTTAAGAGTTCCCTTTCCTAGCGAATAAAGGAGATGTCCCCCCACCCCACAGTGCAATCTGTTGCAGAGCTGGCTAGCTTCACGGGAACCAGGATCCAAACTTTCCCGAAAACCAGCCTGGCTCTCTGGCTTGCCCACTAGCCCTGCACATTGCTAGTCAAGCCAAGAGCAGTGGAGGAACCCGGCACCTGGATGGCCGGACAAAGAGCAGCAGAAGCTAGGTTCCTTTAACATAGTGGGGAGGTGATTATGCTGAGCACCTACATGATGGGCACCAAGCTCCTGAGAGGGGTGGTTTTGCTGAGGGTCTCTGGGCAGCAGCAAGGAAGCAGTGGTTGTTTTTTCCACCCCCATCCAGCTGAGCCCGCTGCAGCGATCCTTCAAGTCCACGTCGTCCCCAACTACGGGCCAGCCCGCCCTCGTCCCCCAGAACCGGTGGAGCTGCACTGGCATGGACATCAGCAACAAGACCTACGAGACCATCCTGGTCCCCTCGCGGCCCATCCAGCGGCGGTCACAGAGCGAGGAGATCCCCCCACCGCTGCCCATCAAAAACCCGACCAGAGGTGGCTCCAGAACCAAACCGGGGCAGAGCCCAGCAGGTGAGCTTGTCCCCCGCTCAGCCAGGCCAAGGGAGGTCGATCGCGCTGGTGAGAGCAAAGCTCTGAAGATCCGTCCCTATTGAGAACAGGATTTATCCTCCAGCCAAGCTTTCTGCTTTGCCTCAGGCCTGTGGGACTCTGGGACCAGCTGGCCCAGGAAGGGTGGAGGCGGCCCGGACACTGGAGAATAACCAGGGATGTTAGTTCTCTTGTGTCCCAAATACAGCTGAGGTTTGTGGGGAGTTTCAGGGCTGGGGAGAAGATCCCGGCTGGTTCTTAGTCTGACCTGGCTTGGCCATTCCTGGAAAGGGCTCTGCAGGCCACGCGTGCCATGACTCCGCTCCCCAATGGGAAATCAAAACCGCGGGGCACTCAAAGGCCAAGCAAACGCATGGGGAGCTCTCTGCTGGGGCACATCACTTCCTGATCTCCCGTACCCTCTGTCCCAGATCGCCCAGAGCTCCCGCGTCAGGCCTCCGAGCCCCAGTTCTCTGCGTCGTCAGAGGCACCTGCCTGCCGACACCTGTCCACATCCAGCGCTCCCAGCACCTTGGACGGCTGTGCTTCCCGGCCGCCGTCCACCTCCCGAAGTCCCCCCGGAAGCCAGACGCACAGTCTACTGGGAAACCCGCTCAGAGACCGAGAGCGGCAGCCAGCGGAGGACGTTGGAGACCAATCAGACAACAGCCCAGCAGCCTGCCGCTGGGACGTCGCCGGAACAGGGGCAGATAACCCCAGTCAAGTTCAGGTAGGAAGTGGACCCCCTGTGGGATAGGAGCGCCCCCTAGTGGCAGGAGAGGTGTTGGATTACCTGGGCAGGGTTTTGCACCATTGACGGGGTTTGCACAACCTGCTAGATGTGATGGCGTTGATCAGCTCAGGAGGAGCCCAAATTGCACCCCAAGGGCCAAACGATCCAGGGTTTGGCCCTTGGATGCCTTTCCGCCACATGGGGAATTCTTCACGGGGAAAGGGACGAAACAGGCGAAACCCTGTGTCCGTGCAACTTCCATATCATTGCAAATATTCAGCCCTATCGCTCCCCTGGTGCAACAAAGCTGGTTCTGGTGGGACCCGACTGAGAATGTCAATTCAGGACAAATTGCTTAGAGCAGGGCAGTTACAGCCCAAGGCTGGGGTTCCTTTGCACACCAAGGCAAACCAAACCAGCCAGACAGAGAAGACTTCGGTTTTACCCCACTGGCTAACCACTAGTCATACCAGCAATTCCCTTCGACACTCCAGTTTCCCAGTATCACCACCAGTGCCACTCGTTATGGGGACAAATGGTTATGAAAACCAATACCCCAGTAAAAGAAAAGAGGTTCTCTCGATCCCAAAGAACCAAGCCCCAGACCCAGGTCAATATACAAATCAGATCTTACCCACAAATCATGCTGTTGCCAATCCTTTAGAATCTAAAATCTAAAGGTTTATTCATAAAAGGAAAAAGATAGAGATGAGAGCTAACATTGGTTAAATGGAATCCGTGTTATACAGTAATGGCAAAGTTCTTGGGTCAGGCTTGTAGCAGTGATAGAATAAACTGCAGGTTCAAATCAAGTCTCTGGAATACATCCCCCAGCTGGGATGGGTCATTCAATCCTTTGTTCAAAGCTTCAGTGTAGACAGCAAAGATCTTCCAGAGGTATGAAACAGGATTGAAGATAAGATGGAGATGAGGTAGCTGCTTTTTATAGTCTTTCTTTGTTCCAAATACAAGCATTTGGGCACATGGCAAGAAAAAACCTTAGAGTTCCGTCTGTAGGCATGTCCCTGCATACCTTGCTGAGTCACAAGGTGTATCTGCCTTCTTTCAATGGGTCAATTGTATCTCTGATGGCCCTTAATGGGCCATCAAGCAGGCTAGGCAGAGCTGACTCTAAATTGTCTGGGGTGTCACCCAGAAGCATACAACAAGTTTGAAATACAGACAGTATAGAGCCAATATTCGTAACTTTAACTACAAACATGATACACGCATACAGATAGCATAATCAGAAAATCATAACCTTTCCATAGACCCCTTATATGACAACCTTTGTACAACATTTACTGCAAATATATAACAGTGATTGAAAC